GGCTTTTTTTTTATAGTTGAGTTAGAATTTAGGGTTAGAGTTTTTAATAAAAGAGTATTGGTAGATTTTGATAGGGTCTATATTTTCAAATTGAGACCTAAATTTTACAATAATCTGATTTCATAATTAGCCGCGACAATAAGTGCATTTGAGTTAATCAACTTATGAGTAATCCGTAGACTTATATATAGTATTGGCAAATAACAATATCATAATGTTATATGATATGTTTGTATGATATTAAATTATATAATTTATATGCTATATAAGATAAAATCATGTCATATTATTGTATATGACATATTGTATAATATGATAATTTATATAAATCATATAAATCATATAATATTATTGTTATAGATACAGAAATATAGTAGTTCCATAACTGATCGTAATATCAATTGGACATAACTTAATAATAAAATGATACGTCAAAAAGTTGTAACTGATATTTGCTATAATAATTGACATGTATCTTGATATTTGATATATATCGTAATATTTGATATGAATTATAATATTTGATATGTGCTACAATATTGATATATGTCATAATTGTACCTTAAATACTTTTATAAAGATGCAAAAATAATGAAGTTTTGTAGCCTATCTCATTTAGAACTTATTATAATACATATCAGCTAATTTTTAAAATTTATAAATAGAGTGTATTTTTTAAAAACTTCAAGACTAAATAACTTCTGATCTACTAGTCTATTTTAAATAATTTTACTACCAAAATATTCATCTCTTTGAGACGATTCCAACGAGCCCAAAATCATTAAAATCCAATCACAGAATCGTGAGATAATGCGCTGTCAAATAGTGATACACCTAGAGAGTAGGGTTCATTGGTTAGACAGACTACCCCAGTATCACCATCAAAAATTTCACCCCCGAAAAAATTCTTTAAGTTTGTTTATGTTAAGGTTAGTACCCAAATTAGCATTAGAATTTAGGTAATTATGTACTAAAATCACATAAGAAAAACTTTTTGTTAGTGCACGAAAAGTAGTTTCTTATACAAATTCTTAAGAAATAAATGATTTTTGACAAAAAAAACGTTTGTTTTGAATTTTCCTAATCATGCTATGTTACACTAAATCAGGATCATTAATTGGTCAATGATCATGTGGGGTAAAAATTTGATGGCGATACTGGGGTAGTCTGGTTAGACATAGGTCTAACCAATGAACCTACTCTTTAGGTGTATCACTATTTGACAGTGTATTATCTCACGATTCTGTAATTGGATTTTAATGATTTTGGGCTCGTTGAAATTGTCTCAAAGAGATGAACATTTTGGTAGTAAAATCATTTAAAATGAACTAGTAAACCAGAAGTTATTTAGCCTTGAAGTTTTTAAAAAATACATTCTATTTATAAATTTTAAAAATCGGCTGATATGATATGCTAATATTTGACTTTTACTAAACAATCTGTTTTCATACTTATGCAAACAATTGTATAAAATTTATTGTTTTGTATTGAATTAATATGATATTAATATTTTCTTTGAGTATTTTCATAATATTTTATGTGAATATATAAAAAATAATATAGTTTTAGAAAAAAGCATATTATTGAAGGGTTTTTTTTTAATTGTTTTTTATCTTTGCTATTTTACTTGCATTCTACAAGTTTATTCAAATTTAATATTTTTTTTTAAATTGATAAATCTGTATTATATATTGGTACTTCTAGAGTATATAGAAAATTGAGATACTATTATAATTTTACTAAATAAATTTTAAAAATAAAATAAAATTTAATTATTAAAAAATTATCTAAATCAGTATTCAAAACCAAGTTAACAAGACTTTCTGAATCAAAATCTATATTAATGCTACTGCTGCTTTCAATGCTATGATTAAAATTATTAGTTAGATTTTCACATAGTTCAATATCTTTTTTTAAAAATATTGGGTCTCTTAAATTTACCATGTCTTCTAAAACCAAATCAGTTCGAGACAATAAATTTTGACTATTAAGAG